ATGACTATAAATTTATTATACATTTTGTGGACTCTCGAGACATTTTCATGTTATGATTGATTGCATCTGAAATATTTAAGGTCTTTTCAAGAAAATATAAATGTGAAGGGTGATAAAACAATCTGTAAATCAAATAGAAACGTTTAGAAATGCATTGAATGAATTATAAAATACTAAAATAAGCAGTATTAATGGTGTGAAGTCAAAGTGGTTACGTGGATATGTGAAAACTTAGGACTTAGATCATAATACTAGTAGACACGGCCTACCGCACCCGTTCCGTAAGTTGGCCTGAAGTCAAGACATTGGATGTTTGTGACGTCATCACAGTATACTGCGAAGTCATAAAATAATTTCCAGGTAATTTCAAAATGTTAGATCTGGTCCATACTACCACTACATATATATATTTTGAAATTACCTGAAAATTATTTCATGACTTCATAGTATACTGTGATAACGTCACGAACATCCTATATCTTACAGAAATTAATACGTGACGTCACGTAGATATAATGTAATCTGGACGTTGTGACATCACATACGGACATACGCTCGTTTTATGTTGGCCTCATGAAAATTGTTCGAAGCCCTGTCTATTTGTATATGTATATGGTCTAAGTGTGAGAAAGATTTTTATAATTACATAATAAGAGAAAGAGTTATGGAATTAAATCGAATACCTAAAAGCAAAGTATGATTCTAAAATATTAATCTGCTGTCATAAAAGAAAGGAGTTATCACGAGATCAAGCAACAAGCAAAACAACAAACATCGTCTCTTTCGATAAGAATAATATGTAAAAATGTTATGTTAATGTACGTCACTATAAATTAATATGAATAAATAAATATTCCCTTATTTATTGCATTTATTTCATTATTTCTTTTTAAATTTTATGTGTACATATTTTCCGTAGAAGGTAAACGTTTGAAGTAGATAGAAGAGATAGATAGAGACAAAACATGAAAAACCGAGAGTCCGATAAAGACAGACTGTTTGCTTGAGTGTGCGAGATTGATTCTATGTTGTACTTTGTACCATACGAAAGCCGGATTCCAACTGTGTTGCCATTTTATTCTCAGCATGGCTAGGTATTAAAGTAGACTCGTAGACTGTGCTTTGAAGTGTTCGTGCGTCCTTCGATGACCTGTACACGCTTTCGCTTCTGCTCCTTCATGTTCGCGTAAAAACGATACACCTACAAATGACTCACAAATCATCGATTACATATTTAAATGCTATATACATACATGCAGTTGTTAATTTTTTTTAATAGCAATATATATTTCAATGAATTTAGTAAGATAAGTATATGTACTTTACATAATAATAATGAAAGTTACATAATCAGTTTAATTTTATTGACGTAAGAAAGTATCATGATTATAATTGAATCGCGCGGATAAGTTAAATAATTGAGTAATATTATCGTAGCTGCACGAACTTCAGTGCAACATTATTGAAATTCAGTAATAATTAATTTGTACTAATCTATTCATCACTTTTCTCTACCTTATCATTTATTACTTCAAATGCGCGCGGTTTATGTGAGGCGCGCCCGGCGCGAGTAGCAGGTTCTTTCTACACCAATGGAAACCGATCACAAAAATTACGAATCACCGTGAAAAATCACATCAAAATCAGGAATGAACGTGATTGAATCACGAGTGATTCGAAAATAGCAGTTCTAGCCATCATTAGTTGAGACTCTTGAGTACATCGTAGGATCTTATGGCACTAGGTGTCTCAAAGCACAGCCTATTTTAAAAGGCATGCGCTAATGACGTCACAGGAAGGGATCTCACGTGATGGCATTACCGTGCGTAGTGATCAATTCTTGACGGTACTGGACTCGTATATGACGCGTGATCACGTATGTATCGTCAGGTTTGAAAGAATTTGCATTATTTAACATCATCAACACCAGTGGCATACAGCTAATTTACAGTATCAGCTAGCTGAAACATACTACTTTTCCGAAACTAATAAAAATGTGTATTATTGTATTAGGTTTTTTAGTGTATTTATTTATTTAACAGAAATAAATAATGAAGCAAAATTGGAAAGTAGAGCTGTTAACATTAACTTCAATTCTTGTTTTAAGTCCAAATAATACATCAAATAAAGAAAAACTGTTTGCACGTAAGCGTAAAAGACGCAAATAAACTAAAGGAATGATTATTTCGAATAACATACAGTCAGATAAGGTAATATTTTGTTTTCAAGAATATTTTTGAAACAATCAAGCGTGTTCTTGCACTCGGGACTTAATGGTACCTTTAAACTTAAAAAAGTAAGTACGCTACTAGGCTGCCACTAACAACTCATAGTGCGCATGCCGCAAAAATCCAATGATGTGTCAAACGACGCAAATGTTGCGTCGACCTCCAAGAAACAATGCATTTTGTCAATGAACAATCGCTTTTACACGGAAATCGGAATCAGATAAACGTACTTTAATAAAGAAACGGTTCAAAGTCTGGCTTGATGATGTATCGTCGCGCCGTTATACTTCGCGTCATCCTTCATGGACCTAACCTAACCTTGGCCAGCCGGATAAACACGCGAGTGACATTTGAGATTAGTCAACGTTGATCTGTCTTCGTTCCCTTCCTTCTCCAGTAAGATTCCGTGTTTTTTTTGGAGGCCAACTCGTTAAACTATGGAGGATTAAATCACGTGTGAAGGATCGATTCGAAATTGAAATTGTTCATTTGGCCGTCGTGTGAAATTGCGATTCGACCGAATTCCGGCTTCGACTTACGATCGTCGTTCTCTGGGCTTCCCATCGATCACCGTCGCCTAGGTAAACGTGCACAGACATCTTGTTGTGATTATCAATAGTTGTGCGGCAATACGTGTTTTCGCGTAACGGCAAATAAATTGTTAAGTGTATCAACCACCAACTGTCGGTCGGCTATTTTAACGTTTAAATAATGTAGCGCAACGATGTCCAACTGGCGGTCCATGGTACCAAATCAGATGAATAATTAAAATGAAAAGGAACGTGAAGTAGACGTACTTACACTCCTGGATAAAGCGAAATATTCATAGATGAGAGATTCTTTGACTTCAAATCATATCTATTCATGACTCATTGGTATGATTACATGCAACAACCAAAAACAATTCCCGCCCTACTTGGTATGCATGAATTGAACTAGTATAACCCCAAAACTATGAATACCCGACCTCTGCTTGATGTTGACAGTTTGATAGGTAAATAGTTTGAATCTTTTCCGATTTTATCTACTTTATTTACCGAAATATACAGAAATCTATTCGGAACACTCAATCTTGAATTAAATATGTTTTAAACGAAGTTTCAGGTTTCTAATCATGACATAATGATAAAATAATATAAGGTGGTATATGTAGAATAATTCGTGTAACAATATTTGAATCTGATTGTAATGCAAATGAATTCCAACTAAAATTCGAATTAAAATCCTAGCCAAAAGCTTGCTACCGAGCAGTTTATCTGAGAATCCTTCAATTTTTTCTGGAACCTGTTATTGTGATCGACACCAAGAAAAAGTTTCATATTTCAAGTGTTACTGCACAGATTTTAATGAATCATGACTCAAATTAAAGATAAAGATACGAGAAATATAAATTAATTCCTTAGAAAGTGTTAATATCGTTGTTCTTTAAGATATTTCGTCTAGTCATTATATAAAAACTTGGCACTGCATAATGAAAATTAAATTTTTGCATGCCAAGTGGGCTGAGAATCGTTTCGTGTACATCTGCCAGCGTGCATTCTTCGATATGAAATATATAAAACCAAAATATAGAAACTCCATTAAATATTCTACTCTTGGAAATAGACCGATTCGCAACAATAAATATTAATATGGATATAAGAAAAATCGTTGCCCAACAATTGCGTCTACGATGTTCTCATTAAGATTTTGCATATATTTTTCTTACATTACTTTTACTTTATTTCAATGTATTTCCTTAGTATAAATAAACTAATGTAATATTAAGTGACCTTTTGATTATCTTTCCTTGGTCCTCAAACATTTGCAAAGGAAAAAAATGACTTAAGGACTAAGAAAGAAGTTGGACAGCGCTGATGTAACTCATACTTTTTTTATAAAATGACATCGAGTAGGTTAACCAAGGGAAGCCCCCATGTCCCCCACCAATTTTGTATACTTTACAAGGAAAAAGAAGATCAAAAGTTGACGTCTGTTAGCTTAAGCTTCAATACTCAATTCTTTTCGAGAAAATCGCCCTTTAATGTTTCGGAACGTTTCATAAGGTTGTGTGGTATTGCGTAAGTCAATAACAGCAGTAGCGTAAGGGATAAAGTGCTGGGATGCAGATTCTGGTGCGAGTGGATTCGAAACTGAACGATCAGAATTATCTTCTTCATTAGTTATTGTACTAAACTAATAGTTAATCATTATTTTTTTAATTTTATATTTAAACTTTGATAATAATATTGTTTGGCAGTTGGATGCAGGATAATTAGATACCATTTTCATGTTTTACATTTTTTTTGCAATCCACGGAAATATCTGTTTACAATATGTGGGAAGTTCACTGCAGTTACGATTAAAACCGTATTAAATATATCTGGTGTATGTGTTTTTTGACAAGTATTATCCAACATAAATATAAGGAAAATACGTCGTAATAAAAAGAATGCAAAACCTGGAAATAGTAGTCAGAGATCTACTTTTATTTTTTACTCTCCTTTATCCTTGCAAAGTGTAAAAAAAATGGGAGGGGTACACTTGGGGGTTTCTCTCGTAATTTGACCCCGGGATCGGTAACTGCGCGACTGATAACTTGTTGTTCTTGAGGATCATTGAATAACTGCGATAAAATTCTATTTTCTTCATTCATTTTAAAGTTCAAGGTTGGATGGAGTTTTATCCGCAATAAGATTCGATTATACTAACGAGTCGACCAGAATGGAGGTACCGTCAAATAATTGATTACGTTCTATTGTTATTTCTGATTACTGGCTAATGTAACATAAATTTTCCAATAATGTGAGCGCCGAATTTGGAAATTCGTTTCCAGCTAATCGATACTAATGCGAGCACAGAACGTCGTATGTATATTAACTAGCATCCCAGGTTGCAGATTCGAGCGCTTGTTTTGTTCCCGTTGCAGTTCAAATCAAGAGTGATATAATTCACTTTTCGGAATCAAAAGGTACCGAAAATTTTAACCATAGAATCCATTTCTACAATCATAATTTGAAAAATTTAACTTTTTGTATAATTCGTTAGAACAGTTATTTGTTTAAATAAAGGCCTTTATATAAATAATGCATATGCTTTTATGTAAATATGCATATATGTCAATCAGGTATAAGAGCAGTGTGTGTACGTGTGACTCAAAGGTTTCTGGATCAGCTTCGCACGTATACATAGAAAATTTTCTCTCTAAAAATATGTAGCACCAACTTCCAACTAGCAACAATACATGGAAAGCAAGAAAGATAGAAAGAGAGAACGTGTTACATTTTTAATGTATGTGTGTGAAGCGAGTACGAAATTCAGTGAGCTAATTATACATGCAAAACGTCAACTCAATCAGTGCAATAGTTTTTGGCTGTTTAGTAACAAACATTCATTCAAACTTTTGCATTTATATAATATAGCTCAATATTATAGAAAGAGTAGGAATTTATTTGTAAAATTTTGAAAAAAGACTGAAACGTTTATCACGGGGCTATAATTTTGCTTAAGTCCAGTCGATAGAGCATTTGAAATTGCAAAGTTGAGAGTTTTTTCTTTGCTTCTTGAAGACGTATATAATAAGATCCATGTTACCCGCACTCTTAACTCAAGTAAATTATTTTGTTATCAAGAATGAAAAAAAATTCAGTTTTCGTGAAATATCTTGATTTTGACACGATTTATTGAAATAGTGTAATAGATCTTTATTGGTGCTTATTATATTTTCTACAAAAATTAGTTATATAAAAAGCTTGTGAGTGCAAAAGTTAAGTTGGAGATGGTTGCCAAAATTATAGAAAGTATTTCATTACTCGTAAATAAATGGTCTTATGGACTTGAAATTTTCTCATCAGGTCATGTATATTCATCTACAAGAATATGTGTAAAATTTTAGACCGATTAATTCATAATTTATTATGTTATTAATGCCGAAAAATCTTTTTTGCATCTTTGGCGCTGGCTAGAAAAATCATATCTCAGAATGCAGATTATTTGTACAGGTCCTCTAAATCTCCAACTTTCGTGTCCTTTTTAAAAATTTTAATGTAGACCGATTTTTAAACGATTTTTACGCGATCGTCTTTTTATGCACCACATAAAACTCAACAATTTTTCACTTTTCGAAATTCGGTTGAATATGAATAAAAAGTAGACAAAAAAAGGAATCGCTCAATCTGCAAATTTTTAAAATGTAATCAATAAATCAAAAGATAATTAGCCACTGACATCTCTATGACACTCCAGAATATATAAGAAATCTACTGCCCTTTCATCCTAAGTACTTAAGTCGTAATTCAGATTTTTGATAACATACAAACAAATGTTTTGTCCTTATAGAATACTAATCGGGAATAATGACAAAATTTTATGAATCCGAATGCCTTCATTCTGATCAGCTTATTCAGAGCTCATCACTAGTATAAACGAACCTATAAACATGGTGCTGCCATTGGTTATCTACTATACATATATAGTATATTCGAAAAGCTCAGGGCAACGAACGGTTATCTGTAGAAATTACAGTAGTATTTAGTCTCGTTTGGGGCAACAAACAGTCACAAATCACTATATGATCGTTTGTTGCACCGAACTAACTTTGTTCTACAGTCAAGTCGAAATCCAGTTGACTGTTTATTACCCTATAGGCCTCTTCATCGTGGACAATATTAAGTGGGCACACGATAATATGGACAATATCGTGGGCAATATTGGCAAAGAGTATAAAAGTTAAGCATTTTGAAATGTGTCCACTTAATATTGTTAATATTTGAAAAAATCGTACTTCGTACAATGAAATACATTTTGATGTTTTTATTTTACTTCGTTTCACAATAGGCTTGAATCATTTTATACATAAACAACTGATGATTCACTGAGTTAATGACTCACCAAACTAAGTGACTCATTTCGTTACAAATCATCCTGATTAGAATAAAAAAGAATTCACTCGAGATTTCTATTTAACGTTCTCCAAAAGTCAGTTCTTTCTATCACGGATAAAACATTTTTAACGTCGAAATTAGAAAGATCCAAAAGTATAGCATAACGATATGAGATAGAAAAAGAAGGGGAAATGGGAGATATCAGTTAGAGATCAGAAGCCTTTGTTTCTTTATCTGTGGCTAAGAATAAGAAGTAAAAAATTGAGATACTTTAGATTTTAGTGCTATAATTCATACTTGTATGTCAATATTTTCAAACCCTAAATTAAATCCTTCCTAGGTCCATTTCTATCCAGTCCGGACTAATTATCAAAAGTGCATTTACCTGACAGTCTTGAGAATGATTGAGTTGCAACCGGGCGTAGACGTGACAACATACGACACAAGTAAATTAATATTTTTCACTTTTCAAGCAATCTGAATTCAGAAGGTCTCGATTAATCGTTGCAGATAAGGTAAATGCCCGAATTCCTGCTCACGTTACAATTTATACTCATTACCGTATTTTTCTGCAATTTTAATATAATAAACATATAAAATAAATATAGCAAATCTGTTCGTAGTATCTCTGACTATTGTTAATCTGTGATTCCCGGACGTAATATACGCTATAAAGCCATGTACAGCGTGAGTCACCTTACGTTTGCACCTCAAATGTC